TCTCCGCCGGTAGCAGAAGAGTCTTCGTCGAGTGCGCCTCAAGAACCTCTCTCGCATGTCCATGGTGTTGAAGAACCTTGTAACCAGCCTCGCTTGAGAAATGCGGGAAGCCACCCAATCAATCCCGCCGATGTCCTCGAGAATGAGATCCATGATGTGGGCGACGCAAGGAATCCAGAAGATGTGTTTCACGCTCTCATCTTTTTGGAATACCTCCATCGCCGCGACGTTCACCCCGGCGGAGTCCGTCACGAACGCCGTGATATCGCTCAATCGAACGTCCATGGACTTCACCCTTTTCAACCATGCGTTCGCGAGCGCACTGGCGTCCTTTTTGCCACGCATGACGTAGGTGGACACATACACCACCCCGATCTCTGTACCAACAAGGTAGTTGCACAACGTCTGACCACGGATGTTGGTCCAACCATCGGTCATGATTGTGCAACCGGTCTCTCTCGGCGTGTCAAGCACCGGCCGAACACACTTCTGGACCTCACCATCCAGCTCGTCCAAAAGGGTCGTGCGCAACATGTGGTACGAGGGAAGTCTAGGCGCGGGCGCCCCTGGAACCCCCGGCGGGATTATCATCGTGAACATGCGTTGGAAGCTTTCAAGCTTCGTGCTGTTGAACGGCATCCCGCTCTCGACGATGAACCGCATAATTTGCTGATGCCATGCGCGCTCCAAAGGGTCCGAATAATATGACGTGACGGCTTGCTGCCTGTAAGTGCCCCGACATCGGCCCGTCGTAGCTCTCCCGCCGAGGACCCCAGCATCCAACAACCCGCCAGGGCTCACAGGTGTCGCGCTCTGGGCGACTGCAAGTTCACGAATGCGCTGCAAAGGGTCTAACATTCCGGTCAACACGGGTGGAGGCTGTGGGGCAGACTGACCAACGCCCGTGGTTGTCGGAACAGGGGTCGGCGATGAATCGGACACCGGAGCGGGGACCTCCTCGGCAGGCACCCCATGATCCACCTGTTCCCCGAAACGAGGCACGGAAGCAGAATGTCGAGCATCTGCAGGTGCGTGTGACGGATCCGGGTGGGCGGTTCCGTGAGCGTGGTGGACCATTGGACGCTGCGCCGCTCTCGACGATGGCGGTGGCAGCCAGGGGTGCTCCGACGAACTGCGGGGTGATGCGCCAGGTGCCACCGCAGTACCACCCCGTGCGGCATCTGACTGCCTAGCACTCCTGAAAACAGGGGCGAGCGAGGGCGCTGAACTGCCGGCACTCCCCCCCCACCTGCGACTCTCAAAAAATGCACGTGTGCTCTCCTTGTCAAATGCCACAGAGCCCACACCATCCCTCAGAGGCGGAGGCTCGTTGGCTGGCGTAGAACGACCAACTCCCACATCGCGAGCACCTCGTGTCCTAGCCAGCGGCGCAGACGGCGGGGCTGCCGGTCGTGTTGCAACTGTTGTTGCAGGACGCGGTACCGTGACTCGAATGGCCGGAGCCCCAGAATTGGGCGATGCGACGGCTCCAGAAGGGGCGGTGGGAGGAACCAGCGGCGGCACTGCGTCCTCGGGGAATCGAAGAGGTGGCCACTGCAAGCTCGGATGACCTGGCAAGTGGCTCTGCAACGTTTCTATGGCCGACGCGAACTCCTTTGGACATTTTGTCATGTCCTTCGACCAGATCGCATTCCACACAGCAGGAGTGGCTGCCTCACATCGGAACTTCTCGCTCTTCAAGAAGTGCTCCTTGGCAGTTTTAGCGCCCCCACAAATCGAATGCCCGCACAACCTGCACAGGCATCGACGACCACTCTTCCTGCCCGCCGCCGTCGACCCATCCAAATAACGCCCTCTGGCCACGAAATGCGACACCGGGTCGTCCCGCTTGCCGTCGACTGTCGGGTCGACCTTGAACGGCGAGTCAAACGT